TGCAGTACAGCAGCTCCGTCTCCCTGGAGCACAACTTCAGAGACTGGCAGGACCTGGACGTGTTCCAGAGCCGCGTTTCCTCCATGGCATTCATCGGACACGGCACCTTTTCGGCGTACGGTATCTCCAACGCCACGCAGTTATTCGGGCGCGAGACTTCCTCCAGCAGCCTCCGGGTAGGGCTACTAATGACGGACGGATCGGATCATCCTCGAAGTCCCAGTGCTGTTGCTGCTGCCGCTGAAGCCAAGCAGCAAAACATCCGGATGTTCGTCCTCCGGCTCTCGGACCTACCGACGAACGCACAGATGAGCGAGAAACTGAGGTCCATCGCCAGCGCCCCGCCGCAGAAACACCTGCTGAGTCTCACGGACAAACAGCTGGACGACAAACTCTTCAATGAACTGGTGAGTGTGTGGGGGGGGGGAGTAAAAACAGGACTGAAGGTTTTTTGCTGTCCCTATTGACTTCAATGTTGGATTCTTTGTTCACCGTGGAGGCATGAGCGTTTTCTTCCAGCATTCAAGTTACCACAGGCTGAGTCTTTCACATAGTGGCTCACTGTGGGGTTCAAGTATTGAAACTGGTGGGATGAAGTTAAACGATGAAAGCAACAAAAGTAAAACAGACCTGAAAACAAGCCACGTTTCAGCAACTCTTGGTCCGAGGTTGAGTCTTGTTTTGTCTTGAGTTAACTATTCCTGCAGGTTTGGACTTTAAATAACTGACCAACCGTCTTTGTTTTCTTCCAGAACACAATTGTAAAAACTGGGGTGAGTACCATGATCATTATTTCATTACATTACATTACATTGCATTTAGCTGACGCTTTTATCCAAAGCGACTTACAATAAGTAGCATTCGACCAGGAAGACACAACCTTGAAGAAAACAGAATCATATAAGTACATCAGGTTTCATAGAGCCAAACATTTCAAGTGCTACTCAACTGGCTTTAGATAAGCCAGTCCTTTATTAGTATAAAAGTGCTTCGTTAATAGTTCTAACGCTCGAAGTGGAGTCGAAAGAGATGAGTTTTCAGTTTGCGCCGGAAGATGTGCAAGCTATCCTCACATGATCATATTCTGTGTTATTATTTGAGGTGTGGTCACTTGTTCACGCACAACGAAGGCCTTATCCTTTCTCTGCTGTGTATCTCAAGCACATCGTCGATTCAGTTCTTTATATGTTCATTATCTCTCGTGTCTTTATTTCAGTGCCCTCAGCCGAAGTCCTGTCTGTGCGAGAGGGGGGAGAGGGGGCATGCAGGAAACCCGGTGAGTGGATAATCGCATCCTAAGTTGACAAATATGAACTATATATTATCGTCTGATTGCAGAAGTTTCTATACTTAGTACTGGATTGCTTTGAGTGATACTTAGGAGCCACAACACGTATTCAGCCTGATGGAAGGCCACACTGAACACATTCGTTTATCATCACTTCCGGCCAATGTTACCCAGGTTGGGTCTCGTGGTTTTTAGTCCATCTGTTCAAGGCTTCGAGACAGAGAGGGTTCGTTAGGCTCCGATAACTTCTGCATCCACTCCAACGTGGACTCGTCACAACGAGGAACCTGATTCAGTCACTTGAGGAACCAGCTTATTCAGAGTTTGGTTTCTGTGGCTTTTAGTAAACGCTGCCATGTCTCCTCAAGCTGCTGAATGTTCTCTAAACGCTGCATGTGTTGTCAAGTTGCTGAAGATGTTTCTGAGTGTGGAACATTTGGGTTTTTATATCTGCATCCTTTCAAGGATTCAAGGACTCAAGCTACAGTGTAGATATGTCAATGAACTTCTGAGGTCACAGGCTCCTCCAACAGATCAAATAGTTAATAGTTTCTGAAGCTGTAGCACAGCTAGCCACGGTTAGCTTCACTCTCCCAGCCTCAGGCGTCCACTAGCGGGTGCGTCTGGCCTACGTTCAAAACCCCACAAAGAAAAGGATGTGAGCGAGCAGGAAACGTTCCCACAGTGTAAGTGTAGCAGGTGGTGCGGGGGCTGAAAGGCTGTTTTAGAAAGAAGCAAAGGTCAACGATGGAAGATTACACACGAGCAAACACGGGAGATCTGAGGTGGAGGTCTTTGTTGGCCGGGGGTTACAGACGGGTCGCACTCAGACTCACCTTCTCCTAACAACACAGTCCGGACTAACGAGGGGGCCCAAATATTCTCACTCTGCCCCTCTGCTTTCATGTCGGGGCAAAAAGGGTTTTGAAAGATATTCAGAAGCTCTCAGAAAATCTTTCAAAAGAAATTGAGCTAAAGTCAGAAATCTGAAGAAAAAAGAAGTAATAATTTAGAAAAAAGTAACATTTCTGAATACATTTTTGGCTTAGTCAGAATTCTGAAAGAAAATCATGACATTAGGATCTGAAGCCCATACTTCTGTATTCTACTTGAGTGAAGGATGTGTGTACTTCTACTTGAGTGAAGGATGTGAGTACTTCTACTTGAGTAAAGGATGTGTGTACTTCTACTTGAGTGAAGGATGTGAGTACTTCTACTTGAGTGAAGGATGTGAGTACTTCTACTTGAGTAAAGGATGAGTGTACTTCTACTTGAGTAAAGGATGTGAGTACTTCTACTTGAGTAAAGGATGAGTGTACTTCTACTTGAGTAAGGATGTGTGTACTTCTACTTGAGTAAAGGATGTGTGTACTTCTACTTGAGTGAAGGATGTGTGTACTTCTACTTGAGTGAAGGATGTGAGTACTTCTACTTGAGTAAAGGATGAGTGTACTTCTACTTGAGTGAAGGATGTGTGTACTTCTACTTGAGTGAAGGATGAGTGTACTTCTACTTGAGTGAAGGATGTGAGTACTTCTACTTGAGTAAAGGATGAGTGTACTTCTACTTGAGTAACGGATGTGTGTACTTCTACTTGAGTAAAGGATGAGAGTACTTCTACTTGAGTAAAGGATGTGTGTACTTCTACTTGAGTAAAGGATGAGTGTACTTCTACTTGAGTAAAGGATGAGTGTACTTCTACTTGTAGTAACGGATGGTGTACTTCTACTTGAGTAAAGGATGAGTGTACTTCTACTTGAGTAAAGGATGTGTGTACTTCTACTTGAGTAAAGGATGAGTGTACTTCTACTTGAGTAAAGGATGTGTGTACTTCTACTTGAGTAAAGGATGAGTGTACTTCTACTTGAGTAAAGGATGTGTGTACTTCTACTTGAGTAAAGGATGTGTGTACTTCTACTTGAGTAAAGGATGAGTGTACTTCTACTTGAGTAACGGATGTGTACTTCTACTTGAGTAAAGGTGTGATGTACTTCTACTTGAGTAAAGGATGAGTGTACTTCTACTTGAGTAAAGGATGAGTGTACTTCTACTTGAGTAAGGATGTGTGTACTTCTACTTGAGTAAAGGATGAGTTACTTCTACTTGAGTAAAGGATGAGTGTACTTCTACTTGAGTAAAGGAGAGTGTACTTCTATGAGTAAAGGATGTGGTACTTCTACTTGAGTAAAGGTGTGAGTACTTCTACTTGAGTAAGGGTGAGTACTTCTACTTGAGTAAAGGATGAGTACTTCTACTTGAGTAAAGGATGTGAGTACTTCTACTTGAGTAAGGATGTGTACTTCTACTTGAGTAAAGGATGTGAGAGTACTTCTACTTGAGTAAAGGATGAGAGTTACTTCTACTTGAGTAAAGGATGAGTGTACTTCTACTTGAGTAAAGGATGTGTGTACTTCTACTTGAGTAAAGGATGAGTGTACTTCTACTTGAGTAAAGGATGTGTGTACTTCTACTTGAGTAAAGGATGAGTGTACTTCTACTTGAGTAACGGATGTGTGTACTTCTACTTGAGTAAAGGATGTGTGTACTTCTACTTGAGTAAAGGATGTGTGTACTTCTATGAGTAAAGGATGAGTGTTTACTTCTACTTGAGTAAAGGATGAGTGTACTTCTACTTGAGTAAAGGATGTGTACTTCTACTTGAGTAAAGGATGTGTGTACTTCTACTTGAGTAAAGGATGTCTGTACTTCTACTTGAGTAAAGGATGTGTGTACTTCTACTTGAGTAAGGATGTCTGTACTTCTACTTGAGTAAAGGATGTGTGTACTTCTACTTGAGTAAGGAGTGTGTACTTCTACTTGAGTAAAGGATTGAGGTACTTCTACTTGAGTAAGGATGTGTGTACTTCTACTTGAGTAAAGGATGTGAGTCTTCTACTTGAGTAAAGGATGTGTGGTACTTCTACTTGAGTAAAGGATTGAGACTTCTACTTGAGTAAAGGATGGGAGTATTCTACTTGAGTAAAGGAGTGAGAGTACTTCTACTTGAGTAAAGGGATGAGAGTACTTCTAATTGAGTAAAGGATGAGTGTACTTCTACTTGAGTAAAGGATTGTAGAGTACTTCTACTTTGAGTAAAGGATGATGAGTACCTTCCTTACTTGAGTAAAGGATGTGAGTACTTCTATCTTGAGTAAAGGATGTGAGTACTTCTACTTGAAGTAAAGGGGATGAGAGTACTTCTTACTTGAGTAAAGGATGAGTGTACTTACTTGAGTAAAGGAGTGGAGTACTTCTACTTGAGTAAAGGAAGTGAGTACTTCTCTTGAGTAAAGGATGAGTGTACTTCTACTTGAGTAAAGGATGTGTGTACTTCTACTTTGAGTGAAGGATGTGTGATACTTCATACTTGAGTAAAGGATGAGTGTACTTCTACTTGAGTAAAGGATGTGTGTACTTCTACTTGAGTAAAGGATGAGTGTACTTCTACTTGAGTAACGGATGTGTGTACTTCTACTTGAGTAAAGGATGTGAGTACTTCTACTTGAGTAAAGGGATGAGAGTACTTCTACTTGAGTAAAGGATGAGAGTGTACTTCTACTTGAGTAAAAGGATGTGAGTACTTCTACTTGAGTAAAGGAAGTAAGTACTTCTACTTGAGTAAAGGATGAGTGTACTTCTATTTGAGTAAAGGATGAGAGTACTTATACTTGAGTAAAGGATGAGTGTACTTCTACTTGAGTAAAGGATGTGAGTACTTCTACTTGAGTAAAGGATGTGAGTACTTCTACTTGAGTAAAGGATGAGAGTACTTCTATTTGAGTAAAGGATGAGAGTACTTCTACTTGAGTAACGGATGAGTGTACTTCTACTTGAGTAAAGGAGGTGTGTACTTCTACTTGAGTAAAGGATGTGTGTACTTCTACTTGAGTAAAGGATGAGTGTACTTCTACTTGAGTAAAGGATGAGTGTACTTCTACTTGAGTAAAGGATGAGTGTACTTCTACTTGAGTAAAGGATGTGTGTACTTCTACTTGAGTAAAGGATGTGTGTACTTCTACTTGAGTAAAGGATGAGTGTACTTCTACTTGAGTAACGGATGTGTGTACTTCTACTTGAGTAAAGGATGTGTGTACTTCTACTTGAGTAAAGGATGTGTGTACTTCTACTTGAGTAAAGGATGTGTGTACTTCTACTTGAGTAAAGGATATCTGTACTTCTACTTGAGTAAAGGATGTGTGTACTTCTACTTGAGTAAAGGATGTCTGTACTTCTACTTGAGTAAAGGATGTGTGTACTTCTACTTGAGTAAAGGATGTCTGTACTTCTACTTGAGTAAAGGATGTGAGTACTTCTACTTGAGTAAAGGGTGTGAGTACTTCTACTTGAGTAAAGGATGCGAGTACTTCTACTTGAGTAAAGGATGTGAGTACTTCTACTTGAGTAAAGGATGTGAGTACTTCTACTTGAGTAAAGGATGAGAGTACTTCTATTTGAGTAAAGGATGAGAGTACTTATACTTGAGTAAAGGATGAGTGTACTTCTACTTGAGTAAAGGATGTGAGTACTTCTACTTGAGTAAAGGATGTGAGTACTTCTACTTGAGTAAAGGATGAGAGTACTTCTACTTTGAGTAAAGGATGAGAGTACTTCTACTTGAGTAAAGGATGTGAGTACTTCTACTTGAGTAAAGGAGGTGAGTACTTCTACTTGAGTAAAGGATGAGAGTACTTCTACTTGAGTAAAGGATGAGAGTGTTGCTACTTGAGTAAAGGATGTGAGTACTTCTACTTGAGTAAAGGATGTGAGTACTTCTACTTGAGTAAAGGATGAGAGTACTTCTACTTGAGTAAAGGATGAGAGTACTTCTACTTGAGTAAAGGATGTGTGTACTTCTACTTGAGTAAAGGATGTGTGTACTTCTACTTGAGTAAAGGATGTGAGTACTTCTACTTGAGTAAAGGATGTGAGTACTTCTACTTGAGTAAAGGATGTGTGTACTTCTACTTGAGTAAAGGATGAGTGTACTTCTACTTAGTAAAGGATGAGTGTACTTCTACTTGAGTAAAGGATGTGTGTACTTCTACTTGAGTAAAGGATGAGAGTGTTGCTACTTGAGTAAAGGATGTGAGTACTTCTACTTGAGTAAAGGATGTGAGTACTTCTACTTGAGTAAAGGATGTGAGTACTTCTACTTGAGTAAAGGATGTGAGTACTTCTACTTGAGTAAAGGATGTGTGTACTTCTACTTGAGTAAAGGATGAGTGTACTTCTACTTAGTAAAGGATGAGTGTACTTCTACTTGAGTAAAGGACGAGTGTACTTCTACTTGAGTAAAGGATGAGTGTACTTCTACTTGAGTAAAGGATGTCTGTACTTCTACTTGAGTAAAGGATGAGTGTACTTCTACTTGAATAAAGGATGAGTGTACTTCTACTTGAGTAAAGGATGTGTGTACTTCTACTTGAGTAAAGGATGTCTGTACTTCTACTTGAGTAAAGGATGTGTGTACTTCTACTTGAGTAAAGGATATCTGTACTTCTACTTGAGTGAAGGATGTGAGTACTTCTACTTGAGTAAAGGATGAGTGTACTTCTACTTGAGTAAAGGATATGTGTACTTCTACTTGAGTAAAGGATGTGAGTACTTCTACTTGAGTAAAGGATGAGTGTACTTCTACTTGAGTAAAGGATGAGTGTACTTCTACTTGAGTAAAGGATGTCTGTACTTCTACTTGAGTAAAGGATGTCTGTACTTCTACTTGAGTAAAGGATGTGTGTACTTCTACTTGAGTAAAGGATGTGAGTACTTCTACTTGAGTAAAGGATGAGTTTACTTCTACTTGAGTAAAGGATGAGTGTACTTCTACTTGAGTAAAGGATGTCTGTACTTCTACTTGAGTAAAGGATGTCTGTACTTCTACTTGAGTAAAGGATGTGAGTACTTATACTTGAGTAAAGGATGTCTGTACTTCTACTTGAGTAAAGGATGTGTGTACTTCTACTTGAGTAAAGGATGTGTGTACTTCTACTTGAGTAAAGGATGTGAGAACTTCTACTTGAGTAAAGGATGTGAGTACTTCTACTTGAGTAAAGGATGTGTGTACTTCTACTTGAGTAAAGGATGAGTGTACTTCTACTTAGTAAAGGATGAGTGTACTTCTACTTGAGTAAAGGATGTGAGTACTTCTACTTGAGTAAAGGATGAGAGTACTTCTACTTGAGTAAAGGGTGAGTGTACTTCTCTGATACTAACTCACCCTGCTCTCATGTAGGGGAAGCCAGGCGATCCGGGGTCAGATGGAGGTCCGGGTCCAAAGGGATTTCGTGTAAGTCTCCATTGTTTCCGTAATCCAGCTCTAGATACAGAGAATCCCCAAAGTGACGTTTGATGTCTTGTCGTTGTTCGATCACTGCAGGGGGAATCCGGCATCAACGGACGTCCAGGGATGGGGGGCCTTCAGGTAATCACCAAATACTTTTCCAAAAACATTCCCTGTGCATCCTAAAGGGGATCCATGTGGATTGAGTTGGCATTTCAGTGTCGTTATGAAACTTAAAGTAAGAAGCAATGCAGGGCTCGTTTCCAAAGCACGCTGAAGGTCTTTGAGCAGCTTCTCTCTCACTGATCCTCTTATGTTCAATGTTTGTTTCTCATGTGTTGTGTCTTGATATTTGTCTGTTGATGTCACACATGGAGTGGCTGGGATGCAAGGAGCATTTCAGACTGGATCTGACCATTACATTATTATCCTATCTTTGTAATATCAATATTTAAGGTGTTTAGGAACAAATATCTTGGTATTTAATGTTCCTTTCAAACCCTATATTGGTTACAACCATCTTTTTTAAGTAGATAAAATACCACTATTGGCTAGATATGATTGCATTGGTTGGTTGGTTGACAGACAGAATGTCTCTCTCCATAGGGTCGACCTGGCGGCAAAGGGGAAAGGGTATGTATATTATCATTTCTAAATATAATGAGTTTTAACAATTCTTTTTTTTTTTATTCGGGATGCATTCACCACTGTATTTTAAACGTACTTACTTTAAACCATACACAGGTGTCGTCGTTTAAACTCTAGA